CAGGCAAGCAGCTAGTGCACAATTATTTCAGTCCAACATCACCACTGCAGAGCTGATGAAATTAGATTTCTTTTCCTTTAGTTTTTGCCTGCGTAGCTTCAGAACGGAACTGGGAAGGCAGTGCATGTTGACAGGAAAACAGCCCACTCTGTTCAAATAAATTCAGTTTAGGAATAAAAGTTTGAAATGTAATATTAGTGTAAGAGCCCCAACTAAATGTTTGGAAGACTTCATGCCTTACTGTGACTGTTAATTTACTTTTGATGAAGATAGTTATTTGTTTGCAGTAAGATTTATGGTTAACGATAATGCACTAATTGTAAGAATAAAAGTTGATTTTAAACTGGTTACTGTTAAGTTTTTGTGCCAATGTGAACTCTTTGAATAGGTTTTCTGTTAAAAAAAGTTTTACCGTTGTTAGTTCCATCCGGATCTCCTCGGGGTGCCACATCGCCTGCTGATGACATCACACTACAGCAATGCCACTCGGACAAAATACAATGAACATCTTTTTCGACATGATTTGCCACACAGGTTTTTGAAAGAGTTTTGCAGGTGTGTTATTAAATAAATGTTTCTTACTGCCTAAATGTTTTCTGTATAAGTGTAATTTGTTAATAAAACACTACATTATTTTTGCTTTGTAAAGAATGTGAGACTACATAAAATCAAGATCAGATTGTGCCCAACATCAATGTATTTACATACCAACATAAATGTAGAATTTTTCTGTATATTTCGTTAGTTCTTGTGTTTTACACGTGCTATTTGTTCAATAAAGTTTCTACTAATGAATTTTGCCCCATTTCACCAAAATGAGAGAAGCTCAGGGTCTCTATATTGATAATTTTGCTTTGCTTTCGCTCCTGAGTAGGTCTGGGTGGGGGACCTGGAGGCTCGGGGTGTGTGGGCGGCGTGCCCCGTGTGGGGTTCTGGGCAGGGACTTGGAGATGGGGTCCTTACTCGTAAGCTGCCGGGAAGAAGCCATGAACAAGCGGCAGTGCATGGCGCAGGCTCAGGGGCCTTAGGTGGACCTTGGCTCATCTGAAATAATAACAACTCTGTCCAATCACGGGGGAGGGAGATGTCAAGGTGGGGGAGAACCCAACCTTACCTGGATGTCTCATGTCTTGCATATAATGGAAGTTGTGCAAATGCAGGGATGGGAGTAGATATTCTGCTGGGAAGGGGCTGAGTTGGTGCCCTCGGACTCCGTGGGGCTCTGCGATGCTGCTGCTTTGTGCCCTGGCGGGATGGGCTGGGGTCTCCATGCCCTGGGGGGCATTTTGGAACAGAGGTGCCTATTGGGGCCAGTGGGGAGCTGGCTTCCTGGAGGGCTTAGGCCAACCAGCCATTCCTCCCCATCCCCATACATTTTTCTCCTCCTGCTCCTTCACATCATCACACAAATATGCACATAGGACCTTGGGGGGTGGACAAATCAGGAGGTGTGGGTATGGATCCCATTTCCGTATTCCTGTGGCAGCCTGCCCCCCAATTTTATTTGCACATTAAACACTTCCACCAACGACATTCCACGCAAAAACACGCTTAGGGCCTTGGGAGTGAATACACTCAACAGCATTTGGCAAGGGGATCTTTCAGCCTCATCCCGAGAGCTGGTGCCCACTTCCAATTTTAAACTGCACTTAGACACTGAGGGCTATGGGGGGAAGTGGGGTTGTGTGGTTGCACTAGCTGGCATAGGCCAGACGATGCCTGCACTGCCCGCTCACCACAGCCATGGAGTACCCCTCATCAGCACGCACTAACACTGTATTGGAGCAGGCGGAGGGAGACTAGGGGTCTTAGCACACCTCTGTTGTCGCTTGGCTTCCTGGGGCTCGAGGCTAGGAGGGGGAGCTGGCCGTCTGGTTGGGGTCTGGGGTGGTAGGATGCTTTGCTCGGCGTTGAGCGAGGGAGCCTGCTCATCAGCACCCCAGCAGAAAGGGTCTAACTCTGGGAACCTGTAATGATTGTACCCCTTGTGCAGCAGTACCGGGACCAAAGTGAATGGGGTGTGTATGGGTAGCATGAGTGGGTGTCTAGCGTTTATTTTTGTAAGTCTTAGGTTGTATATGTATGTGTGAGCATGAGGGAGGGAGTGTGTGACTATATCTGCGTATGGCTGTATATGTCAGGTGTGTTCTTGGACTCCTCCTCTCTTCTGGGACTTCTTGTGCTACTACACATCTTCGCCTACCCTCCCCCTGCCACATTTGGTGTAGTGACTTGGTCTGCCTGTGTTTGCAGCTCCCGGGTCAAGGGGTTTAAGATTTTTGGAGTCTGTCTGATCGATCCCGGTGGCTGCCTGGTGGGATCTGGGTCCCTGGGCACTGTTGGGTCGCCAGCGAGGCTGGTCGCCCCTGGGTCCCAGGTTGCTGGGTTCCGGGCTCCGCCAGCTTAGGGGTGGGAGGCTGCAGGCGGGCCTGTGGCCATTCACACACTGATGGCGATGAGCTACCATGTAGCCACAGCTGCCCTGGGGCGCACTAACAGAGGCGAGGCCTATATACAAGCACGTGAGCGCACACAGGTGCTCACATGGTGCTCTCATAAGTATGGACTTGGGCATTTTCAACACATGTCTTAAGGCAGTGGTTGGCACTAAATACACTGTTATTATTGTGTGATTGTTCAGTAAAACAATGTTGATCTTATATTTCCTCATCAGGTTGACGCAGTGATAGCTTGCTCTAGTTGTATTGTTGTGTCCCCATTCTTTCTTTTGTTTGTTGGTTTGTTTTTCTTTTTCTACAGGTCTAGAAGCAGACTCTTGTTCATCATTGATTGTCTATTTTTGTGGAACCCCCCCCCCCCCCCCCCCCCAATTTTTGAAGGTTAGGCTTCTTTATAGTTCTGTTTTTTTGTTGTTGTTTTTTTAGCAGCAGTGCTTCATCACATTTCTGAAATGAGATCATTGAAACAAATTAACAAACCAAGCTAAACATGTTATTTTTTATATTGATCTTGTTTAATTGATCATTGATTTAGTTTTTAAACCTTATCTTTCTATTGATTCAAATGTTACTCCAAGGCAGTGAACTTCCACTTTAAGGTTGGAAAGTGTAACATTTTACTCAAAGAATGCCACTACAGTTTAAATACACCAGCTATGGTAATGATGGATTTCTTTGGAAAAGTAGTCCATGCTTCCTTTGAAGAACTACAACTGTGAATTTACATGAACCAATCAAAATCTTCATTGTCAACATGCTAACGTTGCTAACGGATATAGTAACATAACTTCCATAAGTCGTTTTTCCAGCCTATCATCTGGTGTGATGTCATCGGCAGGCACAGGCCCACGAGCCCGATCTGGAACCCCGAGCAGATCCGGGCCTACGGAGGGAGGGATAAAAAAAATTCCAGAGTCAAATTGCCTCCCTTTTTTATGGTCTCTGTGCTACCTTGTAGATAAGTAAATTTTCCCATTCATGTTTTATTAATTTATTTAATTTTTTACTAAATAATTGGCTTTAAAGATTATTTTTTCTAATTTTTGTATGAGATTTAAACTGCAGGAAAAGGGAGAATCAAGCTCAAGTTTCACTCATTGAGGATCTGTGATTAAGATGACTCAAATAATGTAATTCCTGTAAAATATAACACATTAAAATGAACACATTTGTATAAATGAAAAAACTTTCTACACATCAAAACAACATAATCATAAAGATGAATTTCAGATGAAATGATCAACAGCAAGTTTCGTGGGAGTACTTTCCATGAGTTTGGCGAGGTAAATACAAGTTTTAGCCAAGCCGTCATTCTGACCTGTAATGAGGGCAAAAAGGCATAAAAATCCATCTCCATCATTGCAAATTCTGATTACTATTGATGCTGCTCATCAGGGATCTCATTGCCTTTCTGAGAATGATCGGTTCTGTCTGGTAGAGAGCTCCGTGTGGCTGTGGGCTCCTGTTAGATATGGTGTGTGTGTGTGTGTGTGTGTGTGTGTGTGTGTGTGTGTGTGTGTGTGTGTGTATGTGTGTGTGTGTGTGTGTGTGTGTGTGTGTGTGTGTGTGTGTGTGTGTGTGTGTGTGTCAGGTGATGGGAGTGGGAAGTGTTGCTGAGGTTGTCTCGTGATTAATACTCCCATTTGCTGCTGTCGCTCCTTCCTTAGCGTCTTCTTGGCCCAAGGTTAGTTGGAAACGGCTGCATGTTTCCACAAGAATATTGGAAGAATGATACACGACAGTTCAATATAGGAGAAAATATAAGTAAATGGGCAGAAGACTGTATGTTGCAAGTACCTGCAAACTAGATTTAAAGTCTGGCAAAAGGTTAAACCCTGATAATCAGCGTGAAGAGGAGCCCAATCCTTAAATATCTCATCGTGGTTGACAAGCCAATGAGTTTTTAAAAGTTGCAGTGGATGTTTTCTTCGATTGGAGGGTAATTGCCACTCTGCACGTTCATTCTGAACCAGTGAGCAGCTGCCGATGAATGCTGAAGCAGAAATAATATCAAATAACTCATAAGTGAACAGGTGTTTCAGAAGGAAAAAAAGGAAACAAGTATTCAGCTTGACACTGTTCGAGTCGGTCCTCTTCTGTTGCTTTGTCCTTCAGAATTATTGCAACAAACCCAAAAGCCCAAACTGTCTCACAGGACATCTTAACTATAATCAATTCTTTCGTGGCCTGAATAGCAGACAGTAACGGCTCCATTGCCCTGTTTTAGTGAGTCCTTCATACTCAGTTTATGATGAATGTCGCAACTTTATCCACTCCTTAATGAAACAGGGATGTTCACTCAGGTTTACAAGAGATTCATTTGCAACACTCATCACATGGCTTCCCGTCACTAAGTGCCCATATTGAGCTCATCTAAAGGTTTAGAGTTTACTTTTAGAGCCAACAAGGTTCACATTTTTCTTTTATTTATTATATTTATTTACATTTTTGAACCGCTCCACTGTCCTCCAAAATACAGTAGTACAGGCAAGGTTTTTACTGGAACGTGGCTTTATGGAGTGGACCGATGGCTAGAGCTGAAACAACTAATCGATTTAATCGATTATAATCGATTATTAAAATAGTTAACAACTTTTTTAGTCATCGATTAGTTGTTTAATAATCATATTTTACCGCATAAAGTCTATTTTTTACCACAATCTGACATCGGTTACAATCTGTTAAATTTGCCGCCAGTGTGTGGCAGTAATGAGCCACTGATCTACCAGTGGGGCCGTAGAAGAAGAAATTAGCCAATAAGTGCCTTCGGTTTTCATGACGTATCACGTTACTGACGCGCATCTTGCTGTGAGAGATGGCGGATCAACAACAAATACGGAAGAAAAATAGAAGCGACAAAACAAGAGAAACCCCGGACAAAAACCTCACGAGTATGGGAGCACTTCACTAGATGCCTTGAAAAGACCGGTGACCTACAAAATATGCAAAAACCATGGCACGACGGAAGCACGACGTCCCTAAGTGAACATTTGAGACGAAAACGTGGGGGCTGATGCAGCAGAGGAATGTCCGGTAAGTAACAGAAAATAAACAAGCTAACGCAGATCACATTTGGGACTTAGTGTTAGCTGAGTTCGTTATAGTGGATGTTAAACATGTTTTTTTTTTTTTGCCGCGTCAGTTTACGGTGTTCTACTTCTGATTGACTAGATGCAATCGTGAATCTCCTCCGTGTTGTGAATCATGCGCTTGCCAAATTTAGCACGTCTGTTTATAAGAATGTTCTCGTTAAGAGAAAAACGGCACAAACCCATAACTGTGTTCCTCATTCAAAAAAGGACAACTCCGTGGAGAAAAATATACAGACGAGCTGTGTCCAGGTGAATATAACGCGGCATAGTTGTATGCTTTCAATTTTTAAATACAGGAGAAATTCAGAAAGTCCTTTTTTTAACTATTAAAAGGCTGTTTTACTATCTAACGCTGTAAAACGCCTCACAACACATTTTTGTCAAAATAAATGATCACTGTATATTGTTAATTAATTCAAATAATGTAATATTGATTTAGTGTTGTAGTGTGTGTGCTGCTTTATTTTATATGTGTACTTAATTGAGTTTATTTGTGTTTCTTATGCAGAAAAAAACAAGCAACGATGGACAACTATATGGGGAACAAGACACTCACCCCCAGCAATGCATACCACTTACAAACTCTATTCCAGATTCTACATTATTTTTTATGGAATTTACCTCTTATATTTTGATGCCAAAAAATTATTCTGGACTGATATTTTGCACTGTTTAGCTCATTTTACACTGCTGACTGTGGTCATGTGCAATAAAATAGATTGCAGTCAACTGCACAATTCTCTTATGTTTTTCTTTTTCTTAACTGAAATGTATTCATCACTTGTGTAGGTTAAATAGCTAAACAATAACAAACTGATTAATCGAAAAAATAATCGACAGATTAATCGATTATGAAAATAATCGTTAGTTGCAGCCCTACCGATGGCTAACACAAGTTGGCTCTGGTGGTTCCACGGTCAAAGCGCAAGTCCAGGGGTTAGTGTGCCTTTTCAGTTCTGGGTCCTCAGCTTTGGAACCAACTGCCACTAGAGATAAAACATCGTTGCCCACCTTTAAAGCTAGGCTTAAGGATTATCTTAGATGTATTTCTTAGTTTTTCTACTCATGTTTTAATGTTTTTGTCATCATTGTTGTTTTAGTGTTTTTAACTCTTATTACCTTTGCATGTTTTATTTCTGTATTTTACTATATAGCTGTTTTATTGCATTTTAGTTGTTCTTTATAGTATGTTCAGCAGCTTGGACCCCCTTGATTGGGGGTAGGATAGGGCTTCATAAATAATTTAGAACTTGAACTTGTTTAGATGGCATTAGTCAATGTTCTGCTTGGCCCCAATGTGACTAAGAATCTTGTTTTATTAGGTCATCAATCTGGTCTGAAATAATCTTTATTTTTCCTAATCAAAATCACACAATGATCTATCTAGAGCTTAGCCTAAAAATCTAGACAAGCCGTAGCAGTAGCAAGAGATTTTGCTTTGCAGGTTGGTCTAGCCACGTTCTTCATTAGCCTCAGCAGGTCTACCATTGGCCGGAACCAACATGGGTTGGCTCAGGAACGGCGCTCGATTGACTTCAACTTTGCACGATTTAGACTTGGGCTTTTCTTTGAGGCATGAGCAGATAGAGGTACTTGGATGTACTTGCTTCTTCTTTTTCTTTGACGAATGAAATCTTTTGCTGTTAAATTAAATCTTTAAAAATAAATATTATAATCTTTTGAGTAACATAGACCAAGCAAGTTGGTGTATGAATTTCTATCTATCTATCTATCTATCTATCTATCTATCTATCTATCTATCTATCTATCTATCTATCTATCTATGTATATATATATATATATATATATATATATATATATATATATATATATATATATATATATATATAGATTTCATTCGTTAATTACTTTGATATTCTTAGGAATTAAAACATAAGCTGATAGCAACTGCCTTTAATTCCTAGATATGTAGTTAATTAACCCTACAAGTGATTGGTTACCCTCTTTGCATGCCCCATCTATTTTGCTGTGGAGTGAATATCAATTGCTGTTGGAAGGAATTTTCACATGCTGATGAACAGCAGACATGATGATGGTCTCTAATGTTTCCTCTGTAGATGCTGTTGTCACCACACACCAGATGACCCAGACACAAGTAATGGAGATTGTGGCTAAATTTTTGAAATATGCACCAGAGAGAGTGGGTGGTGGTGGCCGAAAAAAAAAAACTCCCTCCCTTGAGTGACTAGTTCTGTTTTTTTATTGTTAACTTTTATTTGTAATTTTTAGTTTTTTTAATTTTTGATTGCTATTTCAATTGAATAACAATTGTTATTCCTTGTTGTTATAAATAAAATGTTAGTTTTCTTTTAATTGACTATTTCTTTATTTGCCTGATGGCATTTATTTTTGTCAATCAATATTGCACACAGCTATGATGGATACAGTAAATCACATGAATGTGTAAAAATGTACAAGCCAGTTGGGGAATAAGGTCAGCTTGGATTTAAAGGCTGTCACATGTGTACATGTCATGTACACAATGATCTTTTCCCTGTAGCTTCACATTCAGTTCAGTCAAGTGTGAAAAAATGTCCACAGAATAAGCAGTCACAGAGCCAGTTCTTGTCCCGCAGCTCAGGCAATTCATTGGATTTCCCCATTAACTCCAAAAATGCACTGATCTCCTCTTTCAGCTCCCACACTCGTTGCTACACTTTGCCCAGACTTAACCAGCGGGCACGAGAGTGGTAAAGCAGGTCCTGGTGATCTGCATCGGTTTCCTCCAGGAACACAATAAACTAACTATGCTGGGTTTCCCCGTGCCCCTATGAAGTTAACAAGCTTTACAACTGGATTAATTACATGATTAAGCTGCAATACTGACTTGCACAGAGACTCCTGATGAATGATGTGGTGAAGGAAAATATCATCATGTTCAGGGGTTTTCCTCTTTCACTTTATCCTGGATTCTTTTCAGCAGTCCAACGTGTTTTCCAGTTAAATTAGGTGATCCATCCGTGGTGACGTTGGCAAGCTAGCTTCAATCTTTCAATGACAGCTGACACCCGGTATAACACGTCCTCTCCCTGGGTTTGTCCTATCAGGGACTCCATGGCCAAAAACTCCTCCGTTACCTCAAAATGCTCGTTAATCCCCCGAATAAAAATAAGGAGCTGAGCAGTGTCTTTTATATCATTACTTTCATCCAGTGCCAGTGAATATAAATTGAAGGATTCCGCCTTTTCGTTTATTTGGCTGGTTAAGTCTTCATCAATTAGTTCCACGCGACGAGTTACAGTCCTGCGTGATAAACTAACCTTTTCAAACTTGTCTTTGCTCTCCAGACACAAAATACCTGCAGTCTCTATCATGCATTCTTTTAAAAACTCGCCTTCTGAAAAAGGCTTGCCAGCCTTTGCTATTTGGAATGCTAGCAAAAAAAACTTGCCTAGTACTTCCCTGTTGAATCGTAGTTTGTTGTTGAAAAAAGTTCTGCTGAGCCTATAAATTAGCTGTCAACCTCTCAGCAGTAGTCACTTGTTCTAGTGTTGATAGCTTGCTAGCGTAGTTAGCATGCTTTGTGGAAAAATGACGGCTGATATTGTAAAGAGCTCCGGGAGTTGATATCACTTCTCCCGGCATGCAATAGTTCAAATCGAAACGGCGCCATATTGGCAGGTAAAGCCGGCAGCTGGACTATTAGTTATTGTCAGAAAACTCAATCAAACGGGAAATATGGTAGATTCCTGTTGTGCCCCAGGATGCAAAACAGACACGGACTACATAAGGAATGAGCTGTCTACAGGATTCCCCAAGATCCGGAGCGCCGCAAACGTTGGATCATTGTAATAAAACGCACTAGTGACCGGGCTAAAATGAAACTGTGGGATCCCGAGAGTAAAGGTTTTCGCTTATGCAGCGACCACTTCATATCAGGTACTTAAACCAACGTTTCCTCAACTGTGTATGGTATTTATTTTAAATGCTTTTATTATGATTCTTAGTGGGCTTCCTAAACTTATTTTGGCGTGGCTTTTTCTGTCTTATTACTCATAGCAACAAGTAAACGTCACGTAAAACGTTGCCTCGTGATTTCTGCGTGCTGCCGTTTACGTGTTTTATGATCACAGCAATTAACCGGCTAAGCTGTATTTCATTTTTAAGCAATGGTTGATCAATTGTCAGATCACACTTGAAAAGCACTTTGGATTGCTATTATCTGTCTCACCGAGACAGATCTCAGACAGATACTGAGATCTGTCTCTGTATGGCGTCAGGTTTCTGCCAAAACCCGTGCAGAAACTCATTTGTGGGTGGGCCTGAGAAAATGTAAGTGGGCCCAATAAACGTAATTGAAAACAAATATATTTTGCTTGTGTGTGTGTCTGTGTGTGTCCTCCGCACATGCCCTAGCTCAGGAGTTGGCAATCCGCGGCTCTGGAGCCGCATGTGGCTCTTCCATCCATCTGATGCGGCTCTCTGTGCTTGTAAAATAATGAATGGATATTTAAATAAAATGCTTTATATTTTACTGCATACATTTTACATCTGTAAGCTAATTCTAAATGTAAAGATTGTCTGCGTAAACCTGAACAGGTCCAACCCGGTCTACTGTGTGACTGAGTTGACGCGTCACGCTTGTGCGTAATCATATGCGCTTTCTGAGCTGAAGACGATGTGAGATTCTGGGACTCTCCTCAGACGCCACATTGGAGACAGGAACAAGCACAATTCAGCCAAAGTTTCATCATCAGGGAACATTTTCTAAGTGACAAGTCTCTCTGAGAGACCGGGTTTGGAAAACTCTCGCTTCAGTGGAAGGAATCTTCCCGCATGCACTCTGGTTCTGCAAAGCGCTCCAAGCCCCTCTCCACATCTTCAGCTCGCTGTGCACCTTATGTACACGCTGACAGTGAGCTGCGCTGAGCGGTGTCCAGCTCAGATGTTCAGATGGGAATCTTTTCTTGAGTGATTTAGCTACATCTGCGATTTGCGAAATGAATAAAGTGTCAGTTCGTCTGCATGCGTCGGGGTAATTCTTTCTATTCTTTCTCCGTCAAAATAAACGGCCAAATATGGGAACTGTCCGGTCAACACAAGCCCTGCTTTTAACTGTTTTGTTTTCTTGTGAAAATTGTTACAAATGTAACTTGATTAACACCAGAGCCAGGCGCACTGCACCGTTGTCTCCGTCGCTGTAAATGAGGGAAAAACAAATTGATCGGATCCTTTTCTGACCTTCCCCACCTACAAAGTTTAATTACAACAATCAAATGTGACAGAGCCTGGATTTGTATTCTGAACAGTCTAAACATGTTTTAAAAAGAAACACATGACAAAAGTGGCACCTGCTCAGTAAAACCATCAACAGGGTGAAAAATATCAAAATAATGTAGGCAGAGATGGGCTACAACTTCTGGATCCACTTTATATAAATCGTTTTATTGATTATCGTCTTATGAAAGATAGCTTTGACGTAAACGAGCGACCGGTACCGGCTGCTGTCACCTGTTGTGATTGGTTAAAGCAGCTCTATGCTGTCTGAGGGTAGGCCCCGCCCACAACGCCGCGGCTGCTGCAGTGTTTTCTTTACTGTGGGAAATGGGTAATAATGGCTCTTTGATGGAAACAGGTTGCCGACCCCTGGTTTAGCGTGACGTCTGATATATATATATATATATATATATATATATATATATATATATATATATATATATATATGTATGTATATATAGAGCCATGCCCTGATACGGGGCTGGGGGGTGCGTCAACA